TTTGTTCGCGAGCCGAGCGAACCAAATTGACCTGCACTAGTGCGGTGTGAACTAGACGTGGATTTGATACCGGATCGTCCGATCATGTTCCTTCGATCCTTCATCGCCCGCCATGTGTGCCGCTTGCCATTGTCCGATATATCAGACTGGGCCAGTTCGTGGCAAGACGACTACCGCCGTCGTGTTATCGGATTTGCATTGCAGTTCGTTGACTGAACGAAGCTGACTCTCTCGTTGCATTGACTGTATACCGACGAGAGATATCCGTGGAGCTTTGTACGAAATTCGAAAACGGTACGTCGATATAGCGGTGTAACGAAAGGCCGAGTAACAGCTGGCGAGATTGGCGTTCGGTTGTTCCTCGTTTTACGATGCCAATGAACGGATCCGTGCGCAGCCCTATCCTTGTCTAATCATACAGATTGCGAACGACCTGCTCGCACGGGCTTATAGTTTAATAGTAAACTACTTAGTAAATTGTTAACTTCGTTCCCCCTCTCCTACCTCGAGCCGTTTAAGTTCCAAGGTATGCAGATACACGGCGGATGGAGAACTTTTAGTTAGCTTACGGTTTAATCATGGTTGAAAAGATCTCGTAACTTTGCCGACGTTTCCTCCTCTACCTTTTTGGCACGTCGAATAACAGCCGACGATTTCCGCATTTTCGACGATGATCCGATTCTCCTCCTTCACCGCTGTCCGTTCTCTTCTATTCTGTCTCGCAGTCGTTTGCGAAACAATTTGCAAACTACCGCGACGCTGATAAACGAACTTCTCAACCTTTCCTCGTCACCTTCTTCTCTAGCTCGACTATTTATATAGCATCGAGCGTCAATTTTTCCATCTGATCGTACATGATATCTAAATTCGTTTTTAGCTTGCCTTGCGATCTTTTGCTCGAAATTATTCGCGAAAGTTTAATATTTCCAACCGCGATGGTTACACGCGATAATCGCGGTAATCTCAATTTCTAACTCCAATAACTACTATCGTCGACTTCCAAGCATCGTAATTACTCCTAAAACATAGAATCGAATGGAGTCGGGGCTTACGGTTCGTAGAGACAAGGCGTCGACGTCTCGATCGGAAAGTTTGCAGGTCCATCATTCCGGGTCTCTCTGTAATTCCTCGAGAATCGATTGCGCTAGCTTGGCAGTTCGAACGGACAGAGGCTGGCTCCGACGTATTATTAATCGTCTCGCTTGTCCCCTGCAATTAGTGCGAGCTAGGAATTTAATTTCAACTGCGAACAACTCTCCACGGTTTCCCGTGTTCCACCGTCTCGATAATGGACCGGGTTATCGATATCTCGGTCAGTGGTGACAGCCGAGCGAAGATAAGAACGAATCGCGTCGAATTCGACGCGTAATCCGCCGATACTTTGATCCTCTTTTCAAGTTTTAAAGTATAGTCTACAGTCGCAACGATAGAACGTCTGCGATAGGCGAAGCAACGAGTACTTGACACGCAATTCGATTTGACCGTGGAATTTCGCACGTCCGAGGAGTTTCAGATAAACGCATTCGTCTCGCTGGATAGAATATAAAGTACAAAGGAAACGGTGCGTCGTTTAACGTCGTAGCGTATAAATTTTCGACGAGGGCGGTAACTTAAATGCTTCTTAAACTTTATTTATGTACCCCGGAGACACAGCGTCGAGTATTAGCGGTATAAATCTTTATGACAGTGGACGTACGTAATTTTCACGATTCTGCTGCTCGTTCCAACTCTTTGTGTGCTCTTTACGAACACGGTTTATTGTTTTTTCTCGTTCTCGTTCTCGTTCTCGTTCTCGTGCAAACGATACGTCCTTCTTTGCTGTTGAAATTTTACGATTCTTACGTGGTTCTCCTAAGTCGATACATTTACTTCGTTCGAACGCTCTTAACTTTCATTCCTTATTTTTTAATCAAAGCCAATTCCAATTCTTTAATTTACGTTTTAACGTTTGACGTTGACGAGTCGCGATATCGCGATATAGCGAATAAAAGTGAAACCTTCGATGTTAGTCAATTACTTCAGCGACGCAACTATAAGAAAGGAATCTAATACGTATCGTAGTGCACAAATTACACGCATTAACGGGGTTTTTACCAGATTTGCTTCGAAATTTTCATACGATTTTTACAAATTTTCATACAATTTCTTTAAGCTGTGGCTTTTCTACCATCGCCAACTCTGGCGTTACGACGTGTAAAACCACTACTAGTACGCTACGACAAACGGACAGAAGACGAAAATATGCCAGCGTTATAGTTTTATCTTGCTACTTGATTCTACGTCACCTGCTTTCTGTCTGTAGCTGTACGTTGTAAAATCTTCTAACATTTTACTTCGACGTAGATCCTTCTTTATTTCGACGTATCGTGACATTTAAATTCCGAATTACAAGCCTCGATATAATCTGGCGAACAGAGAGTTTCGAAAAATGTTCGTACGTTTTCTTTGATCTGGCTAGTCCGCACCTTACCTGTCCTTTCTGAGCGCCCGATATTTCTCGCAAAGATTTACGCAAAATACGAATAATCTATGATAGATACGAGTAGGTACATAGAATCTGTTTCAAACTTTCGATCTATGACGAAGCAACAGGGATATGATTTTCGAATCTCTATTATATTTTTCTACCGATTCTCAATTCCATTAACCTTCCTTTTAGTATTCTTTGCAATACGATACAAGTTGAAAATCGTGTACATCCAACTATTCTTTTTTGCAAATTTCTTTAGACATTACGCTATTTTATGATCGACGTTCGTTTCGATTAAACGTGGTAATATCTTAATCGTATTTCAAGAATTTTTCAAACCAATAGCTCAGATATCAAACAACTCGAAGACAAAGCATTTTTCAGTGACGAAATAGTTCCACGCGTTTATCGTTATCATCCACCAAATTTAATCATTAATCCGCAACATATCTGTTTTTAATGTCTGTTATAAGCTGTAACGAGTATAAGGGATAAAATCAGCGCGTATTGCTACAATTTTATCAAGTACGGCTGTATCGTTTGATAAATATCAATTTCGTAGCTAAGGTGGATCCTATCCGAAAAAGAAACAAACTTTCGCATACGTGGCAGCGATCGTACGCGTACTTTCGTGCGATTCACGAATGGCTGACTTCGACCGACGAATGGCTAACGAATTCAAGGTCGGATTCGATCAACAATTAAATATTTGACGTTAAATCCCTTGGTAATCCACTTACTAGATCAAGTTCCGCAGCTTCGTCAAATTTAATACATCGCTTGAAATATATTTGCGTACGTACATATACATATCGTAATCGGCTTCGATTCCCTATGGAGAAGCGAGTTTGTCGATGTCAATTTACTTATTAGACAGAGAGATAGAGGAGAGAGCAGAGGAGGAGGGGGAGCGGGCACAAGTTACACTGGACGAAGCAAAGGATCGTGTTTAAAGCAGGCGTACAACTTGGAAATTGGAAATTCTCGCATTGCCGCAGAACCGGTATTATTGGGTTTTCGTGTCATTTGCGGCAACTCGAAACCGGCCGTGTTACAAATTGAGTTGTCCGATGTAATTCCCGGCAGACTGAAAAAGCCCGTTGAACGTCTACAGAAACGCGAAACAAAAGCAACCCTGTTGGTTTTCGGTACCAGATTGTAACGTTATTATTCCATTAGTTTCTGACGAAGTCGCACTTCGTTTCTATGCGATGCAATTTCAGTTCGAGACTAATTTATTTAGGCGTCTTTGCGTTCCCGTCGTGGATTTTGCAATTTCTCCTTAATGTAGGTACTTTAAGCTCGTCGTATCGAAGTTGGTACAGCATTTCGCGAAGATTCCGAAAAATAGAAATCCTTCAACGAATCGTTACATTTTTGTATTTTGCGTATTTGATAATCTCGGTGGATCCACTTTTTCTCTTCTGACGGGATTCTCTTGTTTCTGACGCATATCGCATTGTAAATTTATCAGCTTTCATACGAATTATAACATATGAAAATTATTAGAAAGAAAAATATTTTTTTTAAAGATATATCTCGACGTGGATTTGTGACCGCACTTTGATAATGTCGCGCATTCGGGTGGAAGATATCTCTTCGTTCGTGGTAATTGGACAGAATGTACGCGTAATATCTCGCGTTTGATATATTTCGTATAGTCCGTCCTACGAAATAGCGTCCAGGCATTTCGCACCGCTTCTACTACGAAGATACAAAATACGAACGAGGAACTTTGTACGAGCGTATTAACCACAAATACTTGCTTCTTTGACCTCGTAGATTTTAAGTAAATTCGACTTATTCCATAAGACGACCATAAGACGTAAAGATATTCTTCTCGTCTCGAGAATTCCCTTACGATTCGACGTCATGATCTTTCGATTAAAACAATTATCGTAGAATACAGCCATCCTTGTTATTTTTGTTACAGAAAATCACGGTTCAACCGTCTACGCGAAAAGAAGCCACCGAAGGAACTACCAGCGTACGAATAAAATCAAGGAATTGATTAATAGAGTTACGATATAAACAAGTCGAGACAAGTGTACATACTCCGAGAACTGCCAAATCGTCCCCGATATCCTGCTCTGTGTCGCCGTAAAGTCTTCGAAGCTTTTGCTCGTTGAAGCTATACAAGGAACAGTCGGTAATAGTCGACAGGGGTGGCCATAGGTATAGTCGTACCCTAGCCGCCGATGCTTTCCTCAAAATCGTTCAACGACGTCGACTCGAGCTCGTCGCTCATTGCACGAACGACGACGACGAGCGTGACAGTACCGAGAACCGACGACTTCCGGACATCGCGGAAGTTCGTTGCCGGCCACGCACGTCCCCGAGGATGGAATTGAGAGCCTCGCAGCCGATAAGCGCGCTAGCACCGATCATTTTCGAGTACACGACGAATCGTTGGACAATCGAAACGAAACAACAGAGGGTGAATAGTGGGTTATACTGGGAGTTGGGTGTGGATAAAGAAGGTGGAAAGACTGAGAGCAGATACAGCAGGGAGGAGAAATCTTGGAGATCGAAGGAAAAAGAAGACGGAAGCAGCAAGGAAGACGCGCGAGAGGGCTTTCTCGACGCGAAAGAAGAAGTCGCTAGATCGGGAACAGTGATAAACGAAAGTCCGAAGAAGCAAGAAAGTCGTAGAGAGGATAGGGCGATAGAAGACACAGAGGAGAGGAAAGATACGAGAGAGGGAGAAGAGAAGAAGAAGGAAAATAAAGATATAGAGCGAGAGGGAAGGGAAGAAGAAGAAGAAGAGGGACGTCCCCTGGCAGGAGGGCCCCACAGATGCGGGGGGAGGGGCCAGTCCGCGGCGGCGTGACGCGATGCGGACGTCCTCCTCCTCGTCTCCGAGGAAGAGGAAGAGGAAATACCTCTCGCCTCTCGATCCTATCGAAAAGCTGCCTCTCTTGGACAATAGTTTCGGCCTGTCGTTTATCTTCCACGATGTTTACGACGAGCGTGTCAACACTGTCTTCCACTGTGCTCCGGTGTACCAGCGGTGCCTTTGGCCGGAAGCTGTTGCCGAGAAGCGTCGGCCGTCTACCGAGCTCGCAATTCGTTCATCGGTTGATCAAATTTTCGGCAACGAGCCGGGATCGTGGCATTTTTGCAACGACGACGGCGACTCGAGGAAAAACGGTATCGTCGGGAAAGGAGGGGAGTGGAGGGAAGGATTTGTACAGACTCGTTGCGAGAATAGAGCAGACAGATCGAAAAAGTGTTTGGCAACGATCGTCGTGTTCCTCGGACTGTTGTGCGGACATTGGTGCTCTGGTGGAGCGGAGGCACTTGCTGGTAGCCAGAAATACAGCACGAGAACGGTCAGGACCAGGTACGGCACGTTGCGCGGCGTCGAGGACAGATCATCCACGTCTGTCGAGACTTATTACGGCGTGCCATACGCCACGCCGCCAATTGGAGCGTTGCGATACATGCCACCGGTTACGCCGACACCGTGGCGCGGCATCAAGCTGGCGGATACCATGCCACCCGCGTGTCCTCAGAAGCCACCGGAACCGGACTCGAGTCTGCCGCGGTCCAAACGGGCTTACCTCGAGAGGCTAGCACCGTTGCTGGCCAACCAGAGCGAAGACTGCCTATACTTAAACCTCTATGTGCCCAAATCTCCTCACGGTGAGTGCAACTCGTTACCCGTTTCTTACACGTTTCTCGCGCCGGCCAACCTTTCTCGGAATTGGTATCGACCGATTTTAGTTGGAAAAGAAAGACCGTGATTAGGTACAAAGCGATTCGTGATTCGCCAACGGATGATAAGCAAAAAATAGGCATTTTCAACAAGTTTCTTCCTCTTTCTCTTTTTCTTCCTCTTCCTCTCCCTCTTCTTCTTCTGCTTCTGCTCTCTCTCTCTCTCTCTCTCTCTCTCTCTCTCTCTCTCTCTCTACTTAATGGTATAATTTAGCAGTCTGCAAAGTATCACGGAAGTAATCGTTGCGTGAACGACCCTTGTTCGATTAACATCGTAATTTTAAGGGTTGAAATCTCGCTTAAACAAGAGAATTCACCTCGTTATCAGCTCTGAACTTGAACGTTGAACGAACCGCACATACTACAGGTGAATAATTTTACACGATAGCCAAAGTGGCTGTTTGCACGCGAAACGTCGAGTGAAATTTTATAGCTAATACATTCGTCCTTACAAATGTGCGGTTATGGTCACGTCTAGTTTTATCGCTCACGCTTCTGGATGGTCATTTATCGTTTAACGACTGTAATCGTGAGTTCGTAACACGGTTACGTAACATCGAACGTGATAAGACACAGTCTCGTTCGTAGTTTGTCGTTGAATCCGGAAAGTAATTTCAATGCGGACAAATGACAAATACCCGATTTTGCAATTTCGTTGTTGGCGTTCTATTTTATCGTATCGACGAATCGCTAAGACCAAGATCATACGCCGATCAACGTAGAAACTGAAAAGAAATGGAGGACGATGGTTTTACGAATATCTATTTTGAAATTTCTCTCGAAACTTACGATCAATCGTGACATTTTTCACGAAGAAATTTAAGAAAATCGGATTAAGGAAAGATTGTCACGTCGTGGCGTGACATCGTCTTATAGAAATACTTCTACTTGGAATTTTCGATCGACAGATCGTAAAGTGAATTTCGTTTCTTCTCATCGTATCCATCGTGATTCGGCTAGTACAGTCGAGATTATTTTGAACAACGGATCGAAATTAATCGGATCGCGTTCTTTTCGGTATATCGATGATAATAATACGGATGCGGTAAGCAAATGTGTACGAGTCACCGAATCTTTGTGCACGGTCGACGAAAAGTGCACCGCGGTCCATCGAACCAGGATCGAGTGCTTTTCGACAACGGATGATCGCGTCACTCGTAGATCGATGATTCCGTTCTTTCCACCGATTTCTCTATGCCCGGGTAATATCTAAAACGAAAGAGGAGTTGTACGTGCTTTCACGATTTATCGGACAATCTATCGTAGTAACGTGAAAATTTCTCCTCGTTTCTGCTTCGTTCGACGATACTTCTCGTAAAAGCGTATTTTCCGTCCTATCGAAGTAGCAGGATACGTTACAGGGAATTTGTCGCTTTGATCGTTCGTGTTAATCCGAGGACGCTTCGATAGACGGCAAACAAATAATAACACTTTAATACAAACAACGATTACAAATCTTTTCGAGCTGCGAGATATACGACGTTGTTGATGCAAGAAATGGTAAAGAAAAAAATAATCCATAATAATACACAGTATAGTACGCTATTGCTAGCGTTGTAAACGTTTCTTGCGTACGAATTTTGCGTTTAGTTAATAATTCTGTTTAGTTAATAATTGCATCAAGTTTTCAATCGACTTATCGCTTTACGCTATATTTCACTCTGCAATATTTTACGCTATAGGTATTGGCCAATTTATAGCGATGCGCTAACGCTATAACGGTCGTGATCCATATGAGATCACCTTTATTGTTACATTCTATAACGGTGTAATAGATAGGCAAGGATTAAACTTGCGAAC